AATAGATAAAACAACACTACTTCTATTTTCCTCATATTCATAGACTTCCTTTCTCTTAAGGATTCTTTGCGGTCTCAGGCGACCTTCCTCTCCCCCTACATATAGGAAAATAGTCTGTTCCAGTACAGACTTAGTTCAAAAATAACTATAATATACAGCAAGGAGTAACTTAAAAGGCTATTCTCTTATAGGAATTGGGCTACTATGTTAAATGCCATTATTCTGTTATTTATTTAACCAGAAAAGATTGTTGCATTTTTAAAAATTATTATTAAAGTAATATATATGCATTTTAGAAAATTTGGAAAATGCAGAAATATATTTTTTAAATTATCCATAATCCAAACTGCACTCCTTATATATCACTGTTACCAGTATGACATATTTTATTTTAGTCTTTTACACATATACATACACATACACATTTTATAATATTAAAACCATACCTATATACAATTTTGTATCCTGTTTTTTCACTTATATTAATATCATGATATTTTATGTCATTACATTTTCTGTGAAAGTATCATTTTTGCTGGTTGTGTTAAAGTCTGCCATATGGATCTACTGTCATTAATTGCTCTCCGATGTTGGAAGTTACTATTTCCATTATAAAAGTATACATAATAAAGATATAATGCCATTGGAGATTGACTCCTGTCCTCCACACAGCCTCCTGTCTTCTAAGGGGGCTGTTCAAGTTCTCATCCTCTGCTTGGGGAGTGGAGAGGAAGTGGGGGCAGGATGGTAGTGTTACCCTATGTGTTGGCTCCTTACATCCAGTCTTCTCCCAGTCCAATCTCCCCAAGTCAGGCCAACAAAACAGCTGCCAACTAAGTGGTAAATTCCTGGAATTGCTGCCACTGTCCTGGAAGTCCTAGCCAGCTGCAGAAGCCAGGAGATTCACCATCAATATTTCAGTTCGGTGGACAACCTCTACCAGCTGGTGCCAAACCACAGCCATCCCAGGAGGGATTTGGACAGCACAGCTAGACCCTCAGAACTCCCAGATGGCAAGCTGTACCGCATTATGTCAATACCTTCCCTCCCAAAAGTAACTCACATGTCATAACTGAATTCTTGGATCCCATTTATTGCATTTTGGCTGGGTTTGACTGTATATGCACTTTAATAATGGTCTTCCAAAATCATAGCATTTTGAATGGCAAAGCTCTGGATGACACTACAGAAGATAGAATGGAATTGTCCCAAATCTTGCTCTGATCTCCTGACAGAGCAATGAAAAGCATAAAAGCTTCCAAATAGCACTAAGGAAGTTACTGAATTCCTCTTCTCAACGAAGAATTCTTCTTGGAATCATTCAATTGAGGAAGCTATTTTTTTATGAAAATGGTAATAAAATAAAAAATCAGAGCATCCACTCTATTTCAACCTCCATTTCTGGTATCATATACTTTAGTCAACATTATACTTTTACCATGCTCTTCTAGAATAGTAAATACAGTTGGTTACAGTAAAAGAAAGTGAGAAGCAACAGGAATAACAAACAGAAACAAGTCAGTAGTGGGAGGCTTTCAAGCTTCCCATTTCCTTCTGTCTTCTTAGGGAACTTGGCTGCTGGAGCATTTCTTGCAGCTGTGATGGCCTTGGAACCTGGATCAACAGCCCAACAGGCCAAATGCAAAGGGGTAGGAGCAGCATTCTCCTTGACTGACAAGACCACATGCCCATCCTGAGATGGAACTTCCTTGCTCTTCTTTCTCTAGCCATGCCTCTGGTTAAGATCATTGTTGAATGCTGGCAGTTGGGCTGCTTCAATCCTTGACAACACGAGCAGCCTGAATAAGGTACTGAACCAAGGATATACGCATTGTTTCCTTATCACACAAACTCCAGATGAAAACAGTGATCAAATTGCTACATTGCTAAACCCACACAGTATCTAATCCTCAAATTTAAATACTACCTCTAATCTAACCTAATTTCCCGGTAAACTATATCCGAATGGAGACTTGCACAAACATTTCCTGGGTGTGGAATCTTTACGTGTAACTTTGTTGTGAGAGGTGAAAATTTCCTTTTCATTTATTCACCAAAACTTTGCCATAAGTGCTATGGAAAGGGAGTATATTAGGTTCATTGGGAGGATACAGAGTGAGTGCCACATGGACTCTGCCTTCAAAGAGTTTTTTGTCTCCCAACAAGGCAGGAAATCATTTAAATTTCTCTTGATCTCAGTTGTCTAATGCATATAATTTGAGAAGTGGATTAGGTACTTTCTGAGGTCATTTCTGTGACTCTCAAACTCCTGTATCACACACTCCCTCTGCAGAGTACAAAGTTAATGTGAGAGGTCATTGGCAAAGTCATTTAATGACCTATTTATGAATGGCATTATATGAAATGCCTTTCAAAGCAACTTAACTCACCAAAAATCCTATCCCTTTACAGTACTGTATTATATACTTGAAAGTTGCTAAGAACGTAAATCTTAAATGTTCTCATCAACACCTACACATACACACAAATGGTAATTATGTGTGATGGAGGTGTTAACTAACCTTATTGTGGTAATCATTTCACAATATTACATGTATCAAATCATCAAATTGTACACCTTAAGCTTACCGAATGTTACATGTCAATTATATCGTAACACAGCTGGAAAAAAAATTCTGTCCTTTAAAAGCTGCAAGTCTCCTTACTATCTGACAATATCACATGGATTTTCATCTCCATGCCTATGCCCCTGTCTGCCCCCAACAGAGATGACACCTCGTGCTCCCCATCGTAGCTTACCACCCTCCTACTTAAAACCTCACTTGACAGTGCCCACGGGTATCCATCTCCCCTTCCTGTAGGCTCATTCAACACTGTCATCCCTAAATTCAGTTTTTCAGCATTTACAGCTAGCCTATTGTCTTGCATTATTAATATACAGTTAAGTACAATAGAGCTGTTATGAAACAAAAGTACTACGGAAGCACTGAAGTGAGTGGATTAATTTCAACTAGGAGGATTGTGAGAGCACCGGAGAAGAGATAATATTTGAGCACAATTGTTTTCAAGGGCAGGGCCTGGTAAAGGGGTTTATGTGGAGTGGTGCTGAGAGGCAATAATCAATGATGATGCTAAGCTTTCAATCCTGGGTCAACAAAAGTTTGTTAAACAAATGAACTTCTAGCTAGGGTAATTGAGTGATATGAATGCCTTTTCTAACATAATAGAAAAATGAAGCAACACGTGGGATGGAGAAAGATGCTGAACTTTGTTTTAGACACCTTTTTAGGTGCCTGTGGACAATTGATGTAGAGATGTTCAACCAGGCATTTCTCCAGGGTCCAGGGAGAATTTATGAGTTATCTGCAAATACTTACCTTTTATCTTGTATGTGTATAGTGCTGTATGATTACAAAGGGCTTTTCATAGCCATTGTCCACTGTTGATTTTGATTCTAACAAACACCCTATAAAGTAGTAGGGCAGAATTATACTACCAGGCCCAGAGTAGTCCCTAAAGTGACATCTGTGTCTGATTATCCCTATTGTTAACACAATAGGGATAACACAAAGAACCTGATGCTCAGAGAGAGAACTGATTCGCTGAATAAGTGGGAGAACTGCGCTACCACACGTCTTCTTACCACAAATTTAGGTGTGTTTTTTTAACCACTAAGAGTGGTGATGGTTGATGCTGGGGGAGCAGACATCATTTTGTACAGCAGTATGAAACAAGAGGGAAAGAACTCCAAGAGGACTTTGGGGCAACCCCGACGTGTAAAGAACCGTGAGAGAAAGAGGAGGAGCAAATGAAGGCGACCACATGACCTGTACTCCCCATCTCCATGAGACTCACGCTCCTCAAGGGACAAGGGTCTGTCATCCTTTGTCTCCCTGACAGAACCAAGCAGATTACCAAACACACAGTAGGTATCCACACAATAGGTATTTGAGTGGAGTAATAATGACAATAGAGAACATGCTTGCCCAGTGCCCTGAGTCAGGGTAAGTCCTAGAACAGCATCATGATTACCGAGGAAGATATAGAGTTGGCAGGTTTTTAGACATACTTGGAATGGTAGCTGACTCAGCTGGGTCAGGTAGTCCCAGTATTAAGAAGGGCTAATTCAGGGATGTAAGGAACACCGTAGATGAAGGTGCAACTTCGGGCATGATCGGCCTGGCCAAACCAAGGGCTCCCGATGAGGAATGTAAAGTCTTGCCCAGGGAGGGTTTTGGTGGTGGTAGAAATGACAGCCCAGGGTATTAGGCGGGAGTCTCCCTTCTGCATCACTCCGAGAGTGTGGGAAGGCCCAAGTCCAGGGTCCTAAAGGCCCGATGGTTAAAGGCACAAAGGGATTAAGAAATTCATTCCCGCCCCACTTCGGGAGGCGGCCAACGATGCGCCCTGCTCCTTTCCCTCGGTGCGAGGGAAGCCCTGGTCTCCATGTAGTATTTCAGGTCTCACTAGCTCTCCTGACTTTTGGCACGGTGAGTGGTCGTTCCCTGAGCCTCCTTCACTCGCCTGACCACCGCCCTCCTCCGACCTCCCCACTCTCCCCATCCTTCCTTCCTGGGGAGCAGGAGGGGATGCCCTGCAGGCGTCCTCCTGCTCCCCGCGCCGCACGCGCCCCCCGCGGCCTCCTCAGCGGGCCGGGAGCGGCGGCCCGGAGCTCGCC